TCAAATTACATTTATATTCTTTACAATGCTCTGTATATTTGCCTAATAAATTAATAAGATTTAGGATGAGTAGATTCATCGATTAATATGTTATACATCAACAGGATTGGGTTAGGGTTTAGGCATTTGGAGGGAATATCAGTCTCCTCACCTACTCCAGCACAATGGGGGGACACATCTAGACTAAGGTGAGGGCAGATACTGTATAGTTTCCCACTTACTTGGGCCAGGGAAGGTTTTGACACAGCACACTTTAGCTGGCGCTCAGCTATCTTGATTAATGGGGATTTCATACAAGGCTATAGACCTATGAATATTTGGGAATAAGACCCATTGAATTTATTCAGTTTTTTTCCAGAGTAAGCATGTTAAAGAATATACTATGCAGCTGCAAACCCTTGCAATTTGCTGAGGGATTAGATGTGTGTGTTTAAGAGAAAGTACTGTACTTGTATTTTTAAGGTAACACACATTGAAGAGGGCTGTAAATATACAAGTTATAATATCTATTTGATCTGTTAACCTTTACACACACAAATATATACATGTGCATACATATATGTGTGTGTGTGTGTGTGTGTATACACACACACACACACATACACACACACATGTACACACACATAGGGCAAACATAAAATGTATGCGTAATGGAAGTGTTTAAAAAATAGAAACCATTTTACTGGGTACTTATATAAAATCTTAATGTATTTCAACTTTTGTCCAGATTTTTCCTACACTAGTTAATTTCATTCTTATAACGGCAATGGTATATTATGTCTTCTAGCAAATATGTCTTATGAGATCTAGCTGTCCTTTCCAACCATGGAGTAAGCAGTGAACTTATAAAGCAGATCCTCAGGTCATTATGTAATCAACATTCCAGAATGTTCTGTGGTTTGCACATCTCCTCTGTGGAAGAGCAGAATCTCAAGTTGAAGGACATTTTTTAAAGATGTTTCTCCACTACTACAAGAGACAAACAGCTGAACTGGTGTAAATGTTTTTCAGCATTTGTATATGGATAGTCTGAAAGAAATTGATTGATGAATAATCCAGCTGCGGCTTTGTGACCCAATTTAACAATGAGCAACCATAGTTTGCCTCAAAGTATGCCTCTTAATAATCTGTGTCCAATAGCCTTTTTGCAGTTTGTTCTCTGTGTAGTATAGAGAGAGGCTAAACAAAATTTCCAGGTGGCTTTATCATTTAATTTCTTTACCAAATACTAGTGTAAGAATCCACTGGCACACTAGATTTTTAGTGGGTATTAGGATCATATATGGATGAATCAAAAAATGAAGTCCATATGTCCAAGCAGTACAAAGGGAAAGCCCACTTCTAGTTTCAGCACAATGTTCTTTACACATTGAAGCAGATTTAGTATAGACTTTAAAATTTTAGATTGATGTATTTCTATAACCTGGTTTGTACCTACAGTATGTGCCACAGTACGCACTATGATAATTTAATTATCGACTTAGTTTTATAGACCTTTAAAACAGAGAGTATGTAGCGTCACCCTTTAGACACAAAAAAAACTTACTACACATGTTAATATTGTTGCTAAGCTTTGTTGTGCTAGGTCCCTGTGGTGATGGATGAATATCCAAATAATGATTCATTTTTTAATACTCTAACTATCCATATGCAAGTTATTCTTATGGTCTTCAGCAAGTACCCCAGCTTTCTGATAATTCATTTCTAAGATGTTTTCTGTGCAGTAATTTGAAAACTGAACCATTGGTCTGTGTGGGCCCATATTTGTCCAAGAGAGCAGTATAACATCATCTGCGTATAACAGGACTGTACTTTCTTTCTTAACCGATGTTGGAAGATTATTTTCAGGAGCATGTAGATTGAGATGGAGATCATTTTTATGTAAAATAAACAACTGTGATGTGCCCATTGATAACAGCTGTTGTGCTAAGTAAACATGGTGATGATGTATCAGTTCCATAATGATTTTCAGTTGCCAGGATACTGCATGTAGTTTGAAGTTATTATCATGTTCTGAGACGGACAGTTTGATTTTAAGGGACAACAAAATACCAGTAGTGTGTCTCTTAATAATTTTAAAAA